CAGGTGAGACCTGGGGGCAGGAAAGATGAGGCGTCCTAGAAGGGTGCTCTGCCCGTGGTGCAGGGAAGACGCGGCTGTAGCTCCGCCACGGGACGGTGTGTTCCACCAGGTGTGAGCCCGAGGTGCGGAAGGGCGTGAGGAAGCAGGCACAGTGGGAGGGGGCACTGCCGCCGGAGGAGTCTTCGTGACGTTCTGCCCGCGGTGGGGTGTCCAGCAAGTCCTAGCAGAGCATGAAGATTTTAATCGCGATTTTAATGAAAGGAGAAAGACCTGGCAAGAAACACCTGGAGGCAGGGAGAGCTGCTGGTCCTGCAGTGCTGTTTTAATCCAGACACAGAACGCACAGGGTCGGAACTAACGGGAGCCGCAGTCAGGGAGAAAAAGGGGCAGCAGGGCAGGGCACGGCCGCAGGCAGCAGCACCTCCCACCAAGCATCAGCCTTTTAAAGCAAAAAAAACCAAAAAAACAAAACAAAACAAAACAAAAACCCCACAAACTATTATGGGATGGGGTTACCATAGTAAATGAAAGTTCACACAGGAAAAGAGCAAACAGGCTCAACAAAAATAACCACCGTGGGTAGTAGTAACCCAGACAACCACACATCTGAAGGTCAGAGACAAGAAACTGCAACTTTCAGGAATTCAACAAAGGAAATACACCACGTTCTAAACTGGAGAAATTTAACAAACATGGAGTTACTAAAGTTAACAATACTTACAACTAATACTCATGATTTCCACAAGGAGGCTGAGGCAAGAGTATCATTGTGAGGTCGAGACCAGCCTGGGCTACATAGTGAGCTCCAGGTCAGTCTCAACTACATAGTGAGACCCTGTCTCAAAAAAAAAAAAAAAATACCCCCTTACCAGTGGCCATAGTGATAGTTTATAGAAAGAGCAAGGACTCAGCCAACTGCTCCAAGAATTTCCTTTTACAGTCTTCTCACTCTGAAACTTAGATGTCTTCTTTGTCAAGTTCTGTTGTGGTTTCGATTGAGAATGTTCCCAGAGCTGCAGGTGCTCAGAGGCAGGGCTTTTGGGAGAGGATTGGGCCATGGCAGTGAGAAAGCTGTCGTGGCCTGGTTGGAGGCAGGTCGGGCAGGGCCTGGAAGCGCGTCTCTCCTTCCCGGGGTCCTCCTTCTCTTTGCTTTCTGGCCACCGTGATGGAAGCAGCTTTTCCTCCGAGATGCCCCTTGGCCGCGCTGTTCTGCCTCGGAGCCATTGGACCGTGGATTGTGACTGTGAGCTGAGATGAAGCTCTCTTCAGTTTGTGGGTGTTGGATACTGTGTTCCAGTGACAGAAAGATGACCAGGGCAAGTTCTCTTTTTCTGAAAGGCCGTAAGAAAAACATATACATGCAGACCTCCTTGTGGGAGTTTGCAGGGTGGTGTAGGAGTTAGGAGTGTGTGTTCTAACCAGATTTCTGGGTTCAAACCAAGCTCTGCCTCTTCCTGTGAGACTACTGGGCTCCACTTCAATGATCTGTGTCTAAATTTTCTCATCTCCTTAAAATGAAGACAATAATAGCACCTCAGTCGTAGGGTTGTTGCATGGATTAAATGAGTGAACACGTCTCAGTCCATTCCTGTACTATCCTTTGTCTGAGGAGAGTGAACAGACATCTGTCCACATATAGTGTCTACCTGAAGTGGTCTTTGCTGTCATCGTTCTTTTGGATTTCTCTTTCAAATTTTGATCCCAGGGGAAAAAGTTCTTGGAGAACAATAAACTCTGTTCTAGTTTTATAGGCCCTAATACAGTTTGTGAAATCTTGATTAATACTCTTTGCGATTCATTTTGCTTGTTGTATGGAGCTGGCCACACAGTGACTGAATCATCCTAATCATTACCCCATGATTTCTTAAAAACATTGTTAAGCCATTAAAACTTAATTGAGAAGTAATAATTGTGTGTGTTTATGGGATGTGATGTGCCATTTGGATCTATACGTACATTCTAAATATAGCCCCCGATTAACTAGGCTGAATTCATGAAGCTAATCAAGTGCTTCTCATAGGCTTGGCAGCAGGTTTCCTGGGGATACGGTGGGCAGGGTCAATACATTCGTGAAAGGGAACTGTAGGGGCTCAGCCAGGGACCCACTTCACGACCGAAGGGAACGTCTTTCTTAAGGGGAGAGGTGGTGTCTTCTTCCACAGCTCCTTGGGGACCCAGATGGAAGTGTCGCCTAGCATCTCTCCAGTGCTGTCCTCGGGGGAACTAGTCCCCCAGCCCAGCTCGGGATAATTGCTGCTTTGCCGCTTGGCACTGGGACAATTTTGGATCCTCTGTAGAGCTGTGTTACCCAGGGAGCATCCTTTCCTAGGAACTCTGGGTTTCTAGGAGGCTAATGAAGAAGAGGGTCTATGGTTAACTTGTGGGAAATGGTGTCTTAGGCAAAGCTGATGTGCTTTCTTAGTTGTGGGTTTTTACACCTCTTTTAATATGCAGATATACAACGTGATTTTCCAAGTGGGGAGCCGAGCTTGCAGTGGTCTCTAAACTTATGAGAACAGCACATTTATTTTCCTTCCTGGAACATCTCCGTAAGCATCCTGGGGACAGGCAGGAGCCTTCTGTGGGATTCTCACACCCTTCTGCACAGTGTAACCACCTAGGGATTAAAAATCTCGGTGTCTGGCCTATACACTCGGGCTTCCTGACCTAGTCATAAGAGGGCAGTCTGGGCCTCGGGCTGTGAAAGTTCCCCGGGGGTTCCTGTGTGCCGAGAGGTTTGAGGTCCTCTGTCCTGGAGCCCTGTCCTGTGTGTGCTCTGGACAGGCCCAGCTGGCCTCGCACTGCCCACTTCCAGTCATGGCTTTGCTGCTGAGAAGCCTCACGGTCCTCCTTGTGTAGAGAGTTTTATAGTTTTGGAGACTAACTGTACCAGGGCCACCTGGGAAGCTGGGGCCAGGTAGATCCTTGCTCTCTATGTCAAATGGATTACATCAGAGTCCAGGGAGGCGGTGGGCGAGAACTTCACATAACAGACAAGTTCCTGAGTAATTCCTATGCACACTGAGATCCAGGGCTGTGGTGGAGGATGCGGCTACCATCAAGGATTTTCTGTTTTTCTGCAAGGCCTGGTGGTGCAGCTCTGTAATCCTGGCACTCTGGGAGGCCGAGGCAGGAAGACTGCAAATTGGAGTTTGGGCAACATAGCGACTTAATGAGATCTGTCTGAAAATAAAAAAGGGCTGGTGATGAGCTCTGTTCGAAGGCCCTGGGTGAATTTTCTGTCTTTTCTGAGGATGCCTATCCCTAGCCTTCTCACACCTGTCTCTCCAGCATTGCACCTCATGACTTCCCACTGGCACAGTTCTCTGTGTCAGCCAAACAGGGAACCTTCAGAGTTGCATATTCCATCCAGTGTGTCTTGCCAATGGGAAGCAAAAACACACACTTTGAAAACACCCTTTCTTTTGGGATCAGGTCACAGCTGGCTAGGGTGGTAGCACTGCATAAAATCCCTGCCAGAATTCCCTAGTGGGATACCGGAAGGCTTAAAAAAATGCATCGCTGTTGGTACAAAGCAAGAAGAAGGCAAGACAGGGAGCAACTCCATCAGACCCCACGGAGGGAGGCAGCCATGGGACGGGACCTTGGGAGTATGAAATGAAAGAAAAAACTCAGGAGATTGTAGAGGCCTTGTTAGGAAGGTGCCTGCAGACAGATCACCCTTCCCTGGAGAGTTACCTGGGGAATCAACTAGAGCAAGGTGCGGGGGCAGTGAAAAGCGCCCCTGTCAGAGTCTAGGGAAGCTCGGGAAGAGGGTAGCCAGCCTCCTAGCCCTGCTGTCCTGGGCCGAATGTGAAAAACCCTGGGAGACTCTTGTGTCAAAGATGTATCGCTGTGTTGTGGTGAGGGGAAACAGAAGACTCTCAGAAGCGAGGATGAAGCACCGAGGTCCTGGAGATGACCCTGTGGTGGTCAGGTAGCCGTGATTACGGACATGTGCCGTGCTGCCTACTGAAAGGGTAAGTAAGCCCAGGGTCACTCAGGTGGTGTGGGTGACCTGGAACTAGGTGTCCTCTGGACGGGCAGGTCCCCGGCAGAGGAAACAGCAAACAGGAGGAGGCACTTGCGAAGTGGAGCTCAGGGGAGGACAGCTCAAGGCCGCTCAGGGCTTGCAGGTCTAATTTCATTTCTTTGTTATCCCCCGACCCCCGGAGCCAGCTCAGCTGTTGGTACAGCAAGAATACAGACATTATCGAGCCCTGCTTAAAGCTCTGGTCTAGAACTCTACCAAGAACTTCCAGATCCATTAACCCAGACCCCTCCAACAGCACTCAGACAATACCAGACTACAGAGTCACTCTGTTTCCTCTGTTCTCAAATTTGGACACTATGTATTATCTTACTCTGGCTCTGAGGTCAATGCTGGTGAGTGCAGGTGTGTATTTGTGTGTTTATATCTACATAAAGCCTTAATAAGCCGGCCAACTCTAATTAGGAAGCAGCTGCTGGTTAAGCATTCGTGTTGTTAGACTGAGAATAGAAATGTCTACGAGCTGATCCCACAGCTGATTGATATTGGATATTTATTTTGGGTTCACGTTCTTTTGTTCATAGAATGTAAATCTTCCTTCCTTAAAACCTTTGCTTACATGATTAAGTGTCCACTGTACATGGGGAGGGCTTTGGCTGCATCTGCTGTAATCTGTGTGTCATCTCATGTGCGGGGAAAGCATTCTGGTCCCCTTTGGCAGAGAAAGAATGGCGGTTCAGGGCGGTGTGTGACATAAAGCAGGTAAGTGAGGACAGAGCTGCGCATTCAAGGACCGACTTACAAGCCAGAGACTCACTTGGTCTCTGCTCCAACTCTGACGCAAGCGTCCTTTCCTTTGTACCTTGCAGTGAGCTTCCGAATTTGCCTCTATCCTCCACCTGCAAACTTGGTGGAAGTGGAGTGGCTGGCGCTCAGTTTGGATTATTTTCTCGCAGTGACCTGAGCTCCCGAGGAGACTCTTATCTGGCTCTGGCCTTCGCTCTCCCAGGTGAACCACTGCATGGATGGCTGGGAGGAACCGGACGTCGGTGACGGAGTTCTTCCTTACTGCGTTCACTCAGCGCCCAGAGCGGGAGCTCCCTCTCTTCCTGCTGTTCTTGAGTTTCTATCTCACCACCCTGCTGGGGAACGCGGGGATGATCATCCTGATCCGCGGAGATCTCCGGCTCCACACCCCCATGTACTTCTTCCTCAGCCACCTGTCCTTCGTGGACATGTGCTACTCCTCCATCATCGTCCCCCAGATGCTGGTGGTGCTGTGGGAACAGGGTGCTGCCATCTCCCAAGCTCGCTGTGCAGCCCAGTTCTTCCTCTTCACCTTTTTTGCGTCCATTGACTGCTACCTCCTGGCCATCATGGCCTATGACCGCTACGTCCCTGTGTGCCAGCCGCTGCTCTATGTCACCATCGTGACTGAGAGGACCCGTGTGGGCTTGGTCACTGGGGCTTATGTCGCTGGTTTTACCAGTGCCTTTATTCGAACAGTCACAGCCTTCACACTCTCCTTCTGTGGAGGCAATGAGATCGACTTCATCTTCTGCGACCTCCCTCCCCTGTTAAAACTCACTTGTGGGGACAGCTATACCCAGGAAGTGGTCATTATCATGTTCGCCATTTTCGTCATGCCCACTTGCATCGTGGTGATCCTGGTGTCCTACCTGTTCATCGTCCTGGCCATCCTGAGGATCCGCTCTGCGGGCGGCCGGACCAAGACCTTCTCCACCTGCGCCTCCCACCTCACGGCCGTGGCTCTGTTCTTCGGCACCCTCATCTTCATGTACCTGAGAGACAATTCAGGCCAGTCCTCGGAGGGGGACCGGGTGGTGTCTGTGCTCTACACAGTGGTGACCCCAATGCTGAACCCCTTCATCTACAGCCTGAGGAACAAGGAGGTGAAGGAGGCTGTGAGGAAATCCCTGAGTCAGTCCATGGTTCCCGGGAGACCCTAGATGGACCCTTGGAACATATGCCCTGTCTCGGTTTCTCTGTCCTTTCTCAACCATCACCTGGAGAAGGCTTTCGTCGACTGCCCTACTTACACCTGCACTTGAAATTTTCACCTCCGCTTCCTGACTTCATAGTCTACGTAGTGCTTGTCACTGTCTGACAAGCGAGATGTTTTGTGTTTGATTTTGCCTGATCCTCACAACTGTTTGTTCCAGAGAATCATTTTGTTCAATGCCTAGCAAAGTACCTAAAAAAAGCAATAAATACTTGTTGAATGGATGAGTTATTCCCAGGGTCCAGCATCTACCTTTAAGACCCCAATTTTCCAGCTCCAGTTTCTTGTCTGCCTGGTGGATTTACCTGCCTTATAGAATTGTGTGGCTGAGGGTGCTGTGCAAAGCTGGCAGGGCCCCTGTTGGCTTTGTCACTCATATTTTCTGGACCCGTTACGTTCTCTGGCACAGCGCACACCTGATGAGTGGAGCAGAAGGGGCTGGGAAATCATGATGCTCCCTACAGGTGCAAGTATTGTTTGGATCGAAGGGAATTTTCCGAGTCTCTTCATTTGTTGTTCTTTACAAAATTTGCTTCTGGGTTTTTGTAACAATAATATTAGCAGACAGGAACTAACTTTTATTCGGTGTTTTTACCTTCCAGGACTCTGAGTTTGCTGTGGGACTTACTTGACTCTCAGGATATACCTGAGAAGCATGTTCTATGGTATCCCACCTTCTCCCTGCACGAAGCACGTAGGGCTCAGCGGGCCTGAGTGATTTCCCCAAGGTCAGCGAGGCAGTGAGTTAGAGTGGTGCTGCCTCCTGGCCGGAGCCTGATCTCCTCGTTGCCTTGTCTACCTTCTCTGGGTGTGATCTGCTGCCGTCTCTGAGTCAGTCACCTTGAGATTTATTGTTGTTCTGCTTTTATATTTCCTTTTATTTGGTGGAGAAAAAGCAAAAATCCAACTTGTGGAGGCAGAGGACGTAAACAACATTCATTTCCTGGCACCTTCAGTGGCAGTATTACATCCTGTGACTTGTTGTGTGGTTGTGTGTGATAAAGTGAGGAGTGCAGATTAAATAATTCATCTGAACTTTCAATTTAAGGACACGTGACAAGGGTTTTAGGAAAGAATTGGATGGTCATGTATGGGAAAAGGTGTAGGCAAAGATATTTTACTGGTGGCCAAGAGATTGGTGTTCACACCTCAGCTTTTGTGTTTTGCGCCAATCACTTAAAAACCATTGAATGGGACGAAGGGACTTTGTACAGTGCCCCCTGCTGGCCAGATTTCATCCGCCAAGCTCACGCTTCCTGAACACATCGGCCCCTGTGGCCTGGGTTCCTTTGATGTGTTTATGTTTTAGAAGATACTCAGAATTTTGCCCCAATGTTTGGCTTCAGATCTGTTGGTGACTTTCAACCTGTTTCCTGTCTGTGAAATAGTATTTACTAAATACTTGCTTTGGGCTTTACATTTATTTCGTGTATTCTCAAGACATGGTATACGTGGAGAAGGGAAAGGTGCTTAGTTTTATCACATTAATACCTGTGATTAAAACAATCAATCATCCAGACTCCGAACACAATGGGTAGTAACGGCCAGAGAGACACACAGCTGCTTTATTTCACAGTTGCCTGAGACAGTCCTCCATGTCCAGATTAATTTTGAACGCAGACACTTCCAGGAGTGGAGGGTTCACTAACAGTTTTTCCACTTAACTCTTAAGCTAATGTATCCCTACTGTACGCAAGGCACTGTGCTAAAAGCTTTACATGAATCATTTATTTTAGTCCTCCTAACAACTTTAATGGAAAATAATTATTATTGACTCCACTTAGCAAAAGAAAAAAAAAGTCCCATCAAGACACTGAAAGGACTTACTTGTGCTGTATAGCAAGAAAATGACAGGCAGGGAAGATTCTGCCGTCAGCTCTCTCACTCCGATGTGGTAACCCTTGAGTGGTGTCACTCCTCCTGCGTTTCTCCGCGGTCTGACCCACAAGGCTTTGGAAGGCAACAGTTATCTGAGCCAGTCCCAGTCTTTCTGTGGGAGCTGAAAATTCCTCCAGATCCTCCACACTGAGCCGTAAGACAGCCAGCATGAGTTTCATGAACTTCACTCTGACCTCAGTCCCAAGAGAGACCCATCTCAGCCCACGTCTAACAAATACTGAGGCTAACAGCACAACTGACACCCAGACACTTCTAAAGAAAGCTGCAGGAATGCAGGGCCTTGGAGAGAGTAAAGGAACAGAACACAAGCTGAATTGTTTTCGTCCCCGCACCTGTGTGGATGAACACTTTGGTTGTTTCCACATCATGGCTGTCGTACTGAATGTGGCAAGGAACATGGCATGTGGATATCTCTGTAGGATTTGGTTTCAGCTCTTTTGGATGGGTACACCCAGGAGTGGGGTTTCTGGGTTGTGTGGTTTTTCATCTTTTGAGGAACTGCCATGTTGCCTACCAAAGCAGCTTCATCGTCTTACTTTCCCACTGAAGGTGTGCGAGGTCCCGAATTTCACCACATCCTCACTAACTTCTGTTATTTTTTTTCTCTTTTTCAATGATGGTCATCTGACAGCCGTGAGACATCATCTCAGGCTGCTTTGTTTTGTATTCCTCTGCTGGTCAGTACTGTCCTGTATCGCTTCATGTCCCCACTGGCAACTTGTGAGTCTCCTGTGGAGAAATGCTTATGTACGTGTCCTTTTTCCACATAAAATGTTTCTTTTTTTTTTTTTTTTTTTTTTTTTTTTTTTTTTTTTTTTT